CTTTTCCAACTCCAAGCACACACTTTAGCATATCTCCAGATTTTCATATGCCTTGGATACACCCATTCCCCAGTTGCCATCCCCGAAATGCTCGAGTCCTGGGCTTCCTTTCGCAGAATCAGGAGCTTTCCTTTTCGACTCGGCGCCCATAAATCATTATTGTCGCTGCGTTTATTTTTGACTTTGACAGGACTACCACTTATGTGTTTATGTTGGCGTTGAGCAGGAGAAACCGAGCAGGAAAATGGGATGGGACTCACAAACAGCATGGGGAATAGTAGTAGACGTCTACCAAATGATTCTCATTCGCAGCAGTAATATTTTTCAAGTTTTTCAAGGGATTGCGATCCCTTTAAATTAGAAACAAGTCTTTTTTATCGCGCAACAATTGAGTTAGTTTCGATTTATCGTACCTAATTGCAGTAGATTTGAGTCCCTAAAACACTTAAAAATGTTATATATTCTAGTTTCATGTGGCGTTTGCTTGCATAGCCCATTTAACTCAGCATTACCTCTCCGGACTCTGCCACTAATTTCTACAATCTCGACCTGGGACAGTTTAATTAATACATTTTATAAATCACAGGCGGGCCATCTTCAGCCACGATAAGGGAGCGGACTTACTTGGAGCCCCAGCCGCATAAAGACACATACAAATTTGCATGCCGGACATCGCCGGACATTTGCTAAATGACCACAACACTTAGGGCGAGATTTATTTGCTCTGGCTGACTGGGGTTTCATTGTAGCCAAGTTGGTGTTTACTTTTGAGCCAGCGCACACAGAAATAGAGATATAATTGAAAGGGGTCTGCGCTCGAATTTTACACACTTCATTTAGCCGCTGGCCATTGCCTCATCCCGGCAACGACCTTCCGGATTGCAAATTGTGGGCGTTGATTAGTTTGCTGGGCTAAAAAATCAGCCCAACTGGGAAGCATAAAGTGTGCCCTGACAAAAGTTATGAGGGGAAAGAGTTATTTGCAATAAATTTAAGTGCTGGCTGGCCCGCTGCAAAAAGCCAGCACTGGAAGTTACAGTTTCTAATTTATGACAAATGCACATGCCCGTCTTGAAGTTTTTGGCCTGGCCAGAAACTGAGCTGAAATCCGAAACTGGACTGGACCGAGCTCAGGTCCCGCCCACCTCCATTTGTGTATCGTCACTCGAGGAAACTTATTGGGCGATGGGTTTTGCGGTTTCGCAATGCGGCAACTCGATTTCCAATTACTAAATTTGCATGCTCGAGTGTTGCGTAAAACGTGGGTTATAGTTTCTAAAATTTTGCGGCCATTTGCTATGATAAATGGCACAGCAAGCGGTGCCTCAGAATGGAATGCCAAGTTAAAATTTGAAACTCAAATCTGCGGAGTAGGAAAGGAACCACTTGAGTTGTCCGACGACATTATTTTGTCTTTATAATTAGTAAAATCTATTAAATCAGTTAGCTGTGGTGACAACCAAATTTTTAAATAATTATAAATATTACTATTTCGGAAATATATATTATTTAATTTGTCCAGTCGTTGAAACGTATTTAAAAGATAGAAAAAGGCGTTTTCGACCTTATAAACCATGAATATTCTTGACCAGGATCACCAATCCGCCTGGTTGCATGGACGGAAACTGTAAGGGTTTCTAGATTCTTTTGCTAGTTTTTCAGAACGTTGCCACGCCCACGGTAGCACACACTTTTACAAAATATATCTTGTGTATATCATTATTTATCTTTATAATTATCTTTATTATTTATCAATACAGCATTATTATTCGAAACATCTGCTATGCACTCGCCATAGCTGAGTAACGGGTATCTGATAGTCGAGGAGCTCGTCCAAAGCGTGCTGCCTTGTTTTTTTCAAAACTTTTAGATAATATTACTTCAGGTCCCTTCCGTCTCTAAAACTCGAAAACTTGAATTATCAGTTACAATCTCAGTCACGCCTCTCGACAAAGTTGGGCACTCTCATCAGTGCCAAGAACTATTTTCAATTACAGGACTAGCTCCTGAAGAAGTGACTTGGGGCAGAAGGAGCTGGCATCCACAATTTAATCACAGCATGTGGTCGGAATATGAAATTTTAGTATCGAAATCGAATAACTCAGCAGCCGAAATGGTAGAAGTCAGCAATTATCTAAAAAGCGAGCAGCGGCGACATCCTGCGAAAGGATAATAGTGCTGAGGCCAGCAATTTGCACGGACCAATTTGGAATGTGTCCCGCTGCTGGCATATTTACACAGAAACATTTCCAAACATGGCAGAAAGAAGAGCAGGCCATAAATCACTCCGCTGGGCACAAAGGCCACATTCCAAAAGGATGTGAATTATATACAAATGATTTGACATGGCCAGCAAATCGGGGGTGGCATAGACAAAATATACATATATTTCAGTAGCCGCGGAGACGATGCCAAAGTTCAAGATAAACGCGCCTGACAGATACGAAAATCTGGGTGCGCCAAGAAGCTTAGAAATCTCTTTTCTTTTAAAATTACTACTGGCAGAGGTCCTTGGCGAAGCTAGGTGTTTATTTCTAAATACCATTTCTAAATTTAATCTGGATAATGCCTAAAGCTGGAACATTTTTTCATTTATATACATTGTCTTTTAAATTGAAGTTAACAATAAAAACACATGTTGTATTGGCAAATGTTATTGATTAGGATTGAAAGGTACCGTGAATATTTTATGAAGAGTTAATAGCTAAAAAAGTCTAAAATTTAAATGCGATTTCTTCTCATTGAGATTGATTTAACCAGCGCTCCAACTTATTTAGCCATATTCGATGCGATTCAGCCTTAATTACCATTAACATTCTGGGCTGGCCAGCATCTGAATTTCCGATTCGGCAAGAAACAAGCTTTCTTTGTGCGCATTTTAATTGCATCGCAGACTCCTGGGTAATGAAATGCTTTTTAAATTATGTCATTAACATTGCAGTCTGTGCCGTCTAGGACTGGTTTATCTCGTTCAAAGCCTGGGCTCTGGATAATTATGGCATATTTTTATTGGCTGGCCATCGAATCGGAATTAGATGCTTGTAAATAGCTCACAACAATTATTTCATTAGGTTCTGCGCCTGCCGGCCAAGTGCAGCCCCAGTTCTGGAGCCCCAGGATGATAAACTGCTGGAATGGAAGGACGTGGCCATACTGGCCCTATTATAAATGACTGGATGTGAACCGCCTGTCATGTTTTATCTTTATTCCCGTGCATTTTCGGCGGCAGGCGGCAGGCGGCGTGTCTGCACATTTTCCGATTCATATTTTTTCGGCAGCCAGCTCGATGACGATAATGGCGCTTGCAGGCCCACTGACGTTTCTAACAAAGTGACTCGCATTAAGGATAATAGAGGCAACTAAAAGCAAGCCACCACAACATGAAACAAAGCAGCCAGATCCGAGCGGAATCGGAGGATGAGCCTGCGATGACTGCCAGCGATTTGCGCATCATTATCCCTGCGAGGAGGGGAGGACTTTCGGCAAAGGTCCCTGGCCCCAAGATGTCCATCATCAGCCAAAAAGAAGAGCTGCAATGCCTTTTGGCCGCATGTCCTGGCACTTCCTGCCTCTGACGGTTTCGTCGTCATCCAGCACGGAAAGAAATGGTACAAACCCCATCTGTTTTACCTTTTGTACGATATTTTCTAGATAAAGAACTAGTTATTTTCGCTATTTTGTGAGTATTTTAGCCGAGCGACAATGGAATTGAAATAATTTTAGAATTCCCCTAGTAAATGGTTTAAAAGCCGTGATTTATGATCCTGATTCTTGCAGTGTGACGTTCATGGAATGATTTATCGTTGCCCAGAGGTCTCAAGTGTAGCACCCCCAAAAGCCCAAGAATGTCCTGCAATTGACAATTGTCCATTGTGTTTAAGGAGAAGACCCCGCCCTCCTCTGGCCACTTTCAACCTCCACTGACTAAACCTGGGCACGCCGAGAAACTAAGAAAATATTTATTAAGCGAATTAAAGTCGCGTCTCACAAATTGCCGGCAAAGCCCCCGATACAAATGACTGGAGATTTCTCATGGCGAAACATTTGATGCAGGTCATTTCGACACCGAAACGCTTGCCCCATGACTCGGCAGCTTCCACTAACGAATTATGCGCTCTAGCGCCTCATGTTCTCCGGCCAAATCTTCTGTCATCATTAGTCAAAGCTTTAAGCCGATTTAATCAATAGCAATTGCCAGCCGAAGTAGGGAAGCTCTCCTGGCTGGAGTGTTAACACAAACCGAGTTGCGTGTCCTGCAGGGCTGGCCCAAAATTATGAAAATTAAATAGAGCCTCACGTGCCACATGCCAGACTTTTCCCCGAGTGGCCAGCTGGTCCTGTCGCTGCAAATTTTGGCCAACATATTGCAGAAATGGAATTCAAAAGGGCGGTCGACACTGCCACTCATTAAACAATTACCGCTTGCTCCTCCTTACATGTTTCATTTTATTCTGCGTTTTTGTTTGCCGCTGCAGTTGCGGTCTTAAATCACACCACTTTTCGATGGGATAATAAGAACACTTTGGATTGGCCATTATGTATTCTCTCAAGACTCCTTTGCACGGACAAGCTGGGTGAAAGTAACTTCGGCAAAGCAGGACATAATGCATTACCGAAAACCATTTAAGTGATACGTTTTTGAAGAATAACCCAACCATAAGCCATTCAATGTATTCTATGTGTGGTGGTGTTGCTACTAAAACGATTTTAAAATTTTGAAATGTTTCTTAAACGTATTTTCCATAATTGTGACTCAGACGATAAAGCAATTATTTTACAAATATGTTTATGATTGTGTAAATTGCACGACTTCGTTGTATTTTGTATGTTCATCAACCTTAACTTTGCCAAGGAAATGAATCTCTATATATACTTTCGGGGTTTTCACTTGCGAACATGAATGTATAAGCGTGTTAATGAGCGTTTAATGTGCCGCAGAAATATAAATTAAAGCGAGTAATAAACATACGCCATTCGACAAATTTCGTTCACTTCCCCAAAGCAGCTGTGTACATATTTGCCAAGTCGAAACAACATTCTTAGCCAGCGACCAAGTGAGTCCACCAAGACGTTATTGCGATCAGTTAACGTCTGAACGCCGATTTATCCGAATATACTTGACGATTCAATTATCTAGCCATGGCTAATCGCAATCTGGTTAAAGTGCTATTATTGGTGGCATTGCTCGGCTTGAGTCTCATGCCACTTTGTCAGGCGCATCCAAAACGTGGTCGCAAGCGAGCCTTTGGTATGTGATTAAGTTGACAGACGGTAATGTAGATTTTCTGAAACATTTGCTAAGTGGCCATAACTGGACTGTATGAAGTCAAGTCAAGCGGAAATCATTGCTGTTACATATTACCTAATACCTATAATATTGCATTTAATTGATTTACATAGATTCCTAAATTTGCCACATTTTTCTATTCAACTCGCCGTAGGAGTGGGTCTCTTGGGTGGAGCTCTGGCTGGCGCTGTCATAGGCAATGTTGTGGCCAAGTCCCGTCAGGCACCCGCTGCAGCTCCTGCTGCTCCGGTAGCCGTAGTGCATCACCACTATCCAGCTGCTCCAGCAGCCCCTGCTCCGGCATCCCAGCCAGCTCCCCAAAAGATGACTGTCATCGAAACCGGCACACCCGCCGCCAACGGATGCTACACGCAAACTATTCGCGAACCCGATTCCAGCAATCCAAAGTCCTACACGGAGACGCAGCACCTGATATGTCCCACGCTGCAGCAGGCCAGCCAGCCTGTACCAGCAATCGCTCCAAGTGTTGCCCAGGTTCCCGTGATGCCGCAGCCCTCGCCAGTTTTCCCAGCTCCAGCTCCAGCTCCTCCTGTTGCTCCAGCTGCCCCTGTGGTTGCTGTTGCTCCAGCTGCTCCCGCTGCTCCAGCTGCTCCAGCTGCTGCTGCTGTTCCTGCTGCTCCCGGCGGCCCTGTAGCGGTTCAGCCTGCTGTCCCCGTGGTCGTCCATCCTGCTGCAGTTCCAGTGGCTGCCCCGGGTCCGGCTCCGATTGCTCCCGCAGTTCAGCACAATCCTGGTCAGCCGCAGGTCATCCTGCTCTCAAAGAAAACCGTGTACTATCCCAAAAAGCGATCATCTGCGCCCACACTCAATATTCCGCAGGTTCTGCTAGCCATGCTGGTAATTTTCTACTCTATCAAGGCTTTTACATTTTAAATCCTAAAATGGTTCTAGAAATTAATAAATTTTAAATCCCAAAACCCTTTTTATTGACGGTCTTTTTTGCACCTAATACAACTTTTTAAATGTTAGGGAAACGATTGTCTTCGTAATAGAGTGGTAATCTATTTAAAAGATTTATATTTCTTAGGCATTAGATCAGGTCATTAGATCATTAAATAACTACGTAGGTATTTTTTGAGTGTTGACAGTAAGAGTGCATCCCAAAATCCTGTATACTATTATATTTAAATTATATCGCATAAATGATATAATATAAATCATAAATACCAAAACGGTATTCCAGAATATTAATAGGAATACAGGAACTTTTGCAATATGATATAACATATGTAGAGTTTTTCATGGACTGCGTTTCAAAAGTATGACCAATATTACAACAATCAAAATACTCAAATTGCAGAACTGTGTTTTCACTCGAAAATCGTTTTTACGCTTTATCTACGTGAAGCGCCATCTACCGAGTGGTAGCAGAACGTACGCTGTACACGTTGTTCATATTTTAACATTTTTTGACGCCATGTAAACTTACGATACTTTAAGCTAGCCGGCAATAATAGGTGGCGCTTCGAGTTTCCAACATGAGACATAGAGTCTATATTTAAATCTATTTAAATCCATTTAGAACTATTTAATCTATTAAAAATACGTAAATATAAAATAAAATACCTATCATAAAATGAACATTGTACCAAAGTAACCATTGCAATTTTCTGACATTTGTGTTACTTTTTATATTCAAAAATGTTTGCTACATCTCGAAATAACTTCACCGAAGGTCCACTTTGCCACTCCACTCCGAGATCCGAGAAAGGCGAGTCCCAACTTGATTCCAGATGTGTTGCGAAGCTGCCCGTGAGTATCTATGGATCATATATATCACGGATCGTCGGGAGACATTTAATCGAGTGCTGCGCCGTATTCGCAGGATTCTGACCCCCTTGAAGATAAATTCTTGGAGATTATAAGCACTCAGGCGCTTTGTGGCACCGTGGATGGGTGGGTAATCGGGTCTGGTTGAAGGTCAGTGACAGAATGCCCAGGGTCTGGATTAACCCATTCTTGAGGCTGTGGTTGACAATAGTGCTATGTGATAGGTACAATCCTTTGGAGGTGACTTCTGCGACCTCGCACGGTGGTCGGGATTGCGGGGAGGGAAGTGCCGGAGCTGGAGCGTCTCATTTTGGATAGCAATTACCTGACCAATCTGTGGCCCTTCAGACAAGTGGAGCGGCGCTTTCCCCGACTTCAGAAACACAAGGATATGGAGAACGTCGATTCATTGCGGGGCTTACAGTTTCTTCCTCTAACGGAGCTGAACCTGCAGAACAATCCTTTGCCCGCCGTTTACGAAAAGGAAGTGCGAGATATTTGGCCAAGTTTACAACTGACTCCTGACCCGGAAATGATGTGATTAGTAGTAAGAGTTTTGCAACATACCGACATTAATAGAAGGATTCTGAGGCTAAACGAAGTCGATTTTATCCGAGCTGTTTCATGTATAATGGAGCTCAAGCAATTCCCCTTGAGTTCAAAGATCTCTGTATGGGTTTAAGATTTTGACTTGCTTATATGTTGTGATTTCGGTGAATTCATCTGTTGCCCTAGCATAAATTGGATCGTTTAACTAGTGTGGATATAAATACATTGCCACATGTTGAATACAAGTTAATCCACGACAAATAAGATTCAAACAGCATTCCCTTTTGACATGTGGGGACTTTTGCAAAAACATTTTAATGGAAAAAGCGCGTACAAATATGAAGAGAGCCCTACGGGGTCTTCGCATTTTCACACACTTGAGCGCCAGTTTCTTAGGCCACTTCAATTACGTAATTTGCCTGTTAACCCAAATGTAATGTCCTCACTCAAAACCAAGAAAAGTTTCCTTTTTCGGCGACTTTTTGGCATAGAACTTTGTACTTGTTACTTTTCACTTTGTGTTTTATCCATGGCCGAAGCGAAAAGCTCAAAAGGTGAAACGCTTGCCACGACCGTTGCCGTGCAGTTGTTGTCGTTATTTTGTTTCCCGAGTGCAAAATGAGTTACAAATTATTAAAAGAGACGTGGACACAACGCCTACGCACTGGCAGCAATTTCCCACGCCGACCGCAGACCGAGATGCACTGAGAGAAAAAGCTTGAATCAAATTCGCATTTCAAAAACTCTGTAACATGAGATTTCTGAGCTTATACAGGATTTTTAACGGATAATGGCACGCAGCTTGTACGTGTGTCAGAAATTGATCAAATTTATCCTACAAATAATAGTTTCTGTGCAAGGCTAAGAGCGAGAATGAGAATGGAAAAAGTAATGGAAACAAGAAGTGGTTGCAGCGGTGCGGTGTTGGCCCAAACGGAAGTTGCTGCTGATGGCCGGGCTTTGGCTTTGGCCAACTTCAAGATGCTGCTCCCAGGGCATGGGCCACTCGCTTTTCACTTTCTTGGCACTTTATTTTAATTTCTGAGGCGTTCCGAAGTTTCCTCTCCGCGTTTTTTCCAACACTTCCACGCTGCCCGTAGTTAGTTGGGACTAAGTAGAAATTACTTCAACTTGCGGCTTGGCCGCTCACTTTTTCAGGTCAGCCAGGGAAGAATCTCTCACTCGCATCCTAATGTAAAATTATATCAAAGGGTTTCAATCGGAAACTATTTTATAATCTAATGTCGTGTTCAAACAATATCTTCGTCAAAGACTCTTACTTATACGCTTTTTGGAAAATGACTTTTCAGTAAACCAGTTAAACAATCAATTTGGAAAGCTTTATTTAAAAGGTACATTAAATGTACTTATATAAGGACAGTTTGCTTTAAGTGAATTTAAGGCACTCTGCCTCCATATTGGTATTGACTCGTTTCTCAATAAGTCTAGTCGCCTCTTTGTATTCCTTGGCATCCTTGAGATCTTCATTGAAGTCTAGAAATTTTTGAATGGTAGCTTGCAGATTCTCAAGCTTGCGTTGAGTTTCATTTTGTAGGCTCTGAATAAAGGAGAGAAATCATAGGTCGAGTTAAGCTAAGTCAAATCTTAAATACAATATTTGTTAAAAAAAAATGAACGAAAATAATTGCATTGCATCATTTTTTAGGCTTTTAATTTAATTACTTACCTGAAAGCCCCACATATTTTGCAAGTGCTCTAATTTCTTGTGGACCACTTCTCCGTTAAGATTACTTTTAAATAGTCGCGTATCTTCATACTTGATCTGCTGCCTATGAAACTTATTGCTCTGATTCAAGGAGATAAATAAATTTAACAACTTCCTAAGGTCTCGTTTACGCGGGTCTTCCATATTAATTTAAGTTATTACAAATATTCTATGTGCTATAATTTTTTTACTGAATGATGTCATAAGCTTGGGTTGCTAGAATGTGGGATTGTTTGCACTTCTAAAAACAGGTAAGTTTTGATATGGAAAAAAAACTCCTAAGAAATCTATAAAATTTGAATTGGCTCGTGTGGAAAGACGTTTTCTGAAAAATAAATTTTTAGCTTAACAACAAAATGACACAAACAAATATTGTTGTTATGCAGGCAGTCATATGCTAAATGGTGTAATAGGTATATGATGCCTACAAAAATGAGGAAAATAATTGTAGCTTACCTTTGAAATACAAGAATGGCACTCAACATTCCACAACGTTACTACTCGTATTCAACAAACTTTGCTTTTATGTGGAATGTATTGATTTAAAGCTTTCTCCTCGCATTCTTTGAAAGCCCCATAAAAACGGCGAAATCGGGAAATAGCTGAATGCAGAGTGTGGAGTGTGGAGTGCGGAGTGCATAAATACAATTTATGTACGCAAGTTTTATATTTTCCCCTTCCGTTCCTTGTTCCTTTTCCCGATCATCCGTTCCTGGTTTTGGGGACGACAACTGGGGGCGTGGCGCGAGCCATAAAGCTAACAAATTGCTGACACAACATATGAATGACAATATATCAGTGGCGGAACCAGCCAGCTGAGTGGCTGCTGCTGAATAACGTATGATTTACGAATAGAAAACTCAATGTAAATGATGCTCACTAAAACGTAACCCCTGAATAAACAATCGCTTTTAAATGCCCAGCTCACCTTTGGCGAAATTAGTTTGCGTACTTTAGGCACTTCAGTATTCATCAACCACTTAGCACCGCCACCTTTATAAGCATAAATTATCTCTTCATTTTGAAGAGCTCACTCAATTGAGATGCAACAGAAAACGCCAGGCGGGCAAACTTAAAGCTTAAATAAACACAAGCAGGAAAATACATTCATATACGCAAGAGAATTGGGTCAAGCGGAAAAAATCATTTCCGTTTTAGCCAACCGAAAAGGGTGCCCAAAACAGATGGCACAAAATTATGCACCTTTTTATTGAGTTTTTTGGCCACCGCAACCATTCAGAAGATATATGTTCTTCTTGCTTTAAGGAACATTTTCCCAGGATCAGGGAAAGCATCTTGGCCAAAACCGCTTCGACGACCCAGCAAGCTTTTCAATTAATCAAATTGACACTTGTAACTTCGACAGATCGTGGCCATCTTAATATTTCTGGCAATGAAATGGTATTTGTCATTTGACAGCCGTTCCTCGTGTAGGCACATTTCCAAGGAATGGGAACTCGGTGTTATATACGGCGTTATATACCTTCCAAGTTGGTAAGAAGGCTGGGTCAAGCACATATAGCGCTTTCGATTGGCCCTTTTGGCCGCCGGACTTCTGACAGACAAATGTTGTTCAATATGCGACGTTTGGCTTTGTGGCCTACGGAAACAAAAAACAGGAAGTGCCTGTGGCATTGTGGGTGTGATATTTTGGTTCGGCGATTGTTCCATGTGTGTTGGGCTGCAGTTGACAGGTGGGTTTCCCCTCCTTGCGGAGCTCCAGTAGGTTCTTCATTACCTGAAGCTATTACATCGGTAACTAAGAAAAAGACTTCAAGATCTGCTACCTGTACACCTACATGTAATTGGATGTTCTCCTTAATCATCCTTATATTACTTTTAAGTTATTGTCAGGTTTTATTTAAAAGCGTATTCTATTAGATTAATAGAAATAGTATCAAAAAAACAAAATCTGAGACCAGCAACTATAATAGCAATCGACTGGCCATCTGGCCAAATAATAATCAAGAACGATTACACTGATTGTCAGGAGCACTCTTAAGAGCCGTAAAAGTTTGTGGATACTAAGCCCACTAACAAATTTGTAATTGATGGCAAGGAACTTGTGTGGAGCTTGCAAGCAAAATAAATGCAGCTTAGCATAGAAAGTAACCAGCTATTTAAGCAGCAACGATATTCACACACTAAATTGATAAGCATTCCACTGATTTTCGATTGAATGGGAACTGGGCCTACGATTCAATTTGTTCAGCTTTAATCTGCTCCTCATTCATCAGAAGTTGGAAAAATCAAACGAATTTGCTTTCCTACTCACACAAAAGTACAAAAGTTCGGATGAGAAGTGCAAACACTGCCATAATCAGCCTTCAGGCATTAAGTACTAAAGCGTATACGTAATACGCCAGTCGATTTGAGCTTATAGCTCGGATTGCCAAGGAAATGATGGCCTGCTTCGTGGGAGGAAGTAAGGTAAACAATTTACACCTAGCTCTTAAAATAGACACTGTCGATGTGGAAATACATGGAATTGCGCATTAATGACGAAACACAAAAAAGTTGCTGCCTTTTGAAGATCGAAAACAATTTAAATGAGGCCTTAACTAATTACTTCGAACAGATTTCACAAGACAGGGAAAACATCACCTTTTTTATACCTTTGCATGTGACACTCGCCCGTCTGTCCGCCTAGCAACTGAAAATGAGTGCCATAAGCTTACACCCATGTGTGTGTGCCGCCGGAAGTCCTTGGAAAAAAGGCAGCAAAGCATTAAACCGTTAGCTAGATTGAGCCCAGCAGCTGCTGGCGACACCTTGCAACAGTTGCCTGAGGAAAAAACCGCACTGGTAATGCCATCATCCGCCTCTGCGCAGAAAGAAAATTCGGAAAATCGTGTCTGGCGACGATAAGTGGAAGTGAATATAGGAAATGTATAATGGTTCATCCTCTGACTCATCTTTTGCATGTAAAGATAGAGAAAACCAAATATTTGACACATAAAATTAAATCAAGGCTCCCAAAAAATGCTACGAAGATAATGCGTGAAATCAAAGCGGTTGATTCCCGTTGCAAAGGCTGCAAAGGAAGCCTTGCAAAGGAACCCCGCCTTGAAGCAGCCCGCTTTGTCGCTCAGTGCATGGTTCGCGTCACCGCTTTGCATACATATGCATTGTGGTTAAGCAATTTGCAGCAAACGAAATGAAAGTGCTAAGCGCATTGGCCGTCAGTTTTGCCTTACCTTCCCGTGCCGCTGTGTGAGTGCGGCAGGTGCGATACGGTAAAGCTGTCATGCAGCTGGATCTGTGCCTGTGTGCGTGCGACCCATGGCACGTATTTTTTCTGCAACTCGAGCTCTGCGGCTTGCGCTAAATTTCATAATTTTTGCGAGCGTCTGGTGCCGCCGGTGCCGGTGCTTGTCTGGTGTCTCCCAGTCACGTGTCATTCGTATCGCGCCGTAAACAAACCCAGCTTGCGTTTCCCGCGGCTCTCCGCCCACTCCGTTGGCATGGAGCGTCGCTTGTTATCCCGACAGTCCCGATCCCGATCCCAATCCCGCTCCCTTCCCGCTCCCAATCCCACTCCCTTCCCTCTCCAGCTCCCGCCGCCTCATTCGATTTATTTTTATGGGGCTGCCTGTGCACTTCTGCACTGGGGATACTTTTTGCGGAGCTCGGCTCAACCCCCTCACTTGTTCACTGAAAATACTTTCTCATGCGTAAAATGCTTCACAAGCGGAGCAGACGCAGACGTTGGCGCATTGAAATGAGGGTGGAGTTGGATACACGTCTGCCCCGCAAAGGTTATCAACTTTAGGCATTACATGGGCTCCGAAAAATACTGGCTCCACTTTTTCTAGGATTCTCTTCATTAAAGATAATTGGACAACATTGCATTTTAATATACAATAATTTCGATGAAATTTAGCCAAAAACGAGACAGAATGCTATAGTCGAGTTCCCCGACCATCAGATACCCATTACTCAGCTAGTGGAGGTGCAAACGAGAAATTCGGTAGAAATTGGGGAAAAGGTAATAAAAGGAAAAACTTTAAAATATTTCAAAAGTGTGGGCGTGTGAGTTTTGTGCGGCTTGTGGGCGTGGCGTCTATGTATCTGGAAGCTGCATGCTTAATCTCAACATTCTAGCTTTTCTAGTTCCTGAGATCGAGGCGTTCATACGGACAGATGGACATGGCCAGATCGACTCGGCTATTGATCCTGATCAAGAATATATATACTTTATATGGTCGGAAACGCCTCCCTCTACCCGTTACTTACTTGCCCCCGAATCTAGTATACCCTTTTACATTACGAGTAACGGGAATAACTATTTAATATTTAATATTTTATATTTGGTAGATACTAACTGAAATATGGTTGTCGTGAAATTTGGAGGTGGTCAGGTCAAGGCGGCTAATAAATATATAACAAAACTTAAAGCTAGGCAGCTCGCATCCCAACCTTAGAGATGCCCAAAACCAATTATTTACACTTGAGTTAATTGGGTATAACGGCCAGGAAAGGCTCATTCAATTAAATATGCAATCGAAATACAGCGCAAGAATTGAAAACAAAGACCAATGGCCGGGCCAATATAAATTGGGTAAATATTCAGCGAAAAAACTGCAAACACAATCGAAACTTTACCGCAGCTGAAATATTTAAATGGCCGAAAGAAGGCGAAAAAACATGCATAATATAAACAAGATAAAGTTGCATCCGCCAGTTATGAACAATAATTAAAAGGATCCCTTGGTCGGCGCCCATAACGAATCGACTGTGAGTATGGCCTCTTTGGGTAATCACTCCCCTTGGATGGGTAATTACGGTCGGAATTCATTAACCCATCACCCGGTGGTTCCCGATAAGGCTGCTGAACTGTTGTTCACAGCTCCGAAAAGAATTTAATTCAGTGGACTTATCATTTTGCACAGCAGAAGTGCAAGTAAAAGACCGATTGAACTGCTTCACTTACCAAGCTAGAAATTCGTCGTCTTAAACGGAAAGGTTGAACATCAAACACTTGTTTGGAAAAACCTAGAGATGTATGATTGTTTCAAGAACAACACTCTCGGAACACGCGTGTCTCAAAGTATCTCAGAGGTGGAGAGATGAAAATGGCTAATGTGTCGACCACAAAATACCTGGATCTCTTAAATCCAATCAGACCCTCGTCTACCTCATTAAAAAGGCACAATTTTGCTGTCAGCTTATTTCGTACAGCAACTTTATTTGTTTCTGCAACTTGGATACATTCCTTTTCAAATATGATACCCGGTAAAAAAGCTGTACACTCGAATAGGGCATTTCGAAGGAAGCCGCTGGAAGCCAGTTAAAGAATTTTCAAATGCTGGGCCAACAAAGAGAAATGGAAAGCCGTTGAATATGCAGCAGGAACCGACCCATTCGGACCAAAAAAGGCCAGAAGCTGGCCCAGAGCGCAGAGGCTGGCTAACAAATGTTCGGATGGACAATGTGCTGGGCGGGCCAAGAGTTTATCGCTGCCCAGTCTTATGTTAACACTGGCCACAACAAGACCAAGGCCTCTACCAATGGCTGTAGCAATGGCAATGGCGAAGAGGCAGCAGCTGCTCGACTCTGTTTCGGGAACTTTTTGCTTAGCTCCAAATGTGCCACAAATACGGGGCAGGAGCCAACTCCCTCGCCACGCCTGATAAGTAAATGAATGTTGCATACTTTGGGGCGCGGGCGCAGCTTCCAGGATTTTCAATCATCAAGTAGAGAGAGCCAGCCATGAGGGTGTTATTAATGTTGCGTTATCAGCAGGCCGTCCCTTCTATGCCGTAAAATTCATCGTTCTTGCCATGCACTCTGAAAATACTACCACAGTTTGCAGAAAGCGTTTTACAAACAAATTATGCGCACTTTTATAGGTGGAAGGGTATAAAACTCGGCAATGATGAAGAGGTGCTTTTAGCGCTAAGACTACTTTACTCACAATTAATCAGGGAATATAGTATATGTACTCCAGTATCGATATGCGTGTGACTTTCCCAGGAATTTGCTGTCCTTTTTGCCAGTGCCTCCACCGCAAAATGCACAGCCGGAGCAGCAAGAGCCAACAAGCAACAACCGGCGACCGACAACCAACACGCAGCAGCTGGAGCAGCTGGAGCGGCTGGAGGAGCTGGAGGAGGTTCGACCATGAGAATGCAGATTCCCGCTGCTGCTCCATGTTGGCTGCATAAAAACGCAGGAATTAGCATAATTTCAGGCACTCGGGCTGCGATGGCGCAACACTTGCGACCGCAGATAAGGCGCAAAATGAACGCAGGACGTCTTTTGTGCATGTGTTTGTGGGTGCGAGTTTGTGGCAGCTGGGTGTGTGCGTGTGTAAGTGCGGCATCCACATACACGCGTGTGGGGCGCGCTGTTCATCGCTTGTTATTTCGGGAGAGTTGTGCAATAGCTGCGGCATATGTGGACACCAGACCAGCAGACGAAGATATTAGATGCTCTACCAACAGAAATCGTTCGGTGGCAATTCAAAAAATAGGCACACCTTTGATTCATATTAAATATAAGCGCTTCAACCTATTTAAATTACAGTGTATTTAAATTCCGACTAGTTAAGCTTTGTTTTCGTCACAAAGTTACCCTGCCAGGCCGGCAAACCCTCCTATTGTACCAGCGAACACACTGCGGCATACGATTTCCATAAATGCACAACATCGCGATTTTCTTGGCCAAGGATCTTGGCAAAAAAAGTGGCCTGCGGCTGAGTGCGATTTTCGAAAGGGTTTTCCAGTGGGAACAGTTTAGGAGCAAGTTGCCTCGTTAAGAATGAAAAGTTTCCATTGGCTTAAATGTTTATTACCGATAGTTGGAGCACAAAAATCCCCAAAGCTAGTGCAAGTGCAGCATCTCGTTGAAGGCCAGCCGCAAGGTCTCTTTGAGTCCCATGCCACACAGCACGTGGTAAATGGGCCTCATGTTTCCGGGGCTTAGATCGAATTTCACGGAGCATGATCTCGGATTGTGGAGATGGCGGTGCCTCTGCCCTAGGTAATGCTGGAAATACAGTTGAGCCCGTCCCCAGTGGCGTTGATCTGTGAACAACCTGCTTTCGTGGAGCTCCCCACAGTCCACATCTATCTCATCATTACATGTGGGAAACTCAAACCAGTTCTCTATCATCGGCCAGCGGATATCGCTGCGCAGTTCCCGTCTCATCCCGAAGTCCGACGGCAACAGGTAACCAAGTCTGGACGCAGGTCCTCCAAAGCTCCTTATTCTGTTGCAGAACGCCAGGGTGCGTTGCAGACTCATTTTTCTCAGAAATTTGCTTCGCCTGGACGTTGATGCTCGGGGCCGTTGATCTGCCGCCGTGGGATTTGGCTGGTTTGGGTTGTTGTGACGCGGTCTTCGCACGTGCGGACCATCCCCAATCATGGCGGTTTCCACGACGCGGGACGGACTGGCCCTGCTCCACATTCTGGGAGCACTTGTTGTGGTTTCTTGGCTCATAATCGCAGGCACTTCTGACAATCGAGGTCCGATGGAAACCGATAATTTTGGGAGGACAATTCAACTGTCCACTAAGCTGGCCAACTGAGATTTCCGAACTATTTCCCAACTTTATGTTTACTTTACCACACAATCCGAACTCTACACGTACGTATGAGCAATTAAGCTTAATTCAGTGATCAGTATTCAGTGTATTTGGTATATTGAACGCAATATCAAAACCGCACAGACTTAACTTCAAAGTAAGCATGACTGGCTACGAACATTGCTGCGGGAATTGAGCCAGAATTCCCTGGGCTGCGGCATATGCGAGTTCTAGGATTACTTGCTCATACTGAAGTACACAAAGCACTGATTAAGCGTTTCGGCTGCCATTCTGGCAGGCAGCTCTAATTCGACCCTTCCGGAACTTGATTATGCTGCTCGTCTGCTACTCGAATAACAGGATGAGCAATACATTTGCATGCCGCCTAAATGCTGAGAGCTCGTTCACTTGGTCCCTTACATATCCGGGAATTCCCTGAACTGCGTCAGCGGGAGAGCCAGTGCCTCGCAAGTGCACACTTGGAATGGCTGCCTTCATAATTCAGCGTCGAAAGTGGAAGAGTGGACTGGCGAAATGAATGATGAAATCAGTTCCCCAGATATTCTGCTGGCATCCTATTGCTGCATACAATAAACAATTTGCCTGCTGACTTCCAGCATGAATAGAGCTGTCAGCAGTCCGCAGTCGCGCTGAGCAGCCATTAATAATGGACTGGGCCCAGCTACACGGGGCGTATGGTTAATATTGCTCGGAAAATCTGTGATTGGCCTCGGCCGCGCCGCTTTTGGCACCGTTTACTTCAAGGTGCTTGACACTAATTAAATCCCCTAGTTGGCCAATTTAAGTGCGAGGACAGGATTACTTTTACTTCGCAACTGCATCGTCTCAGTTACCTGAGCATGTTGGCCTAAACCCACTGCTCCTTTATGCCCATGGCAATGCAACTTTTGCCGACCTGCCCAGCTTATAAAGCAAAGGCAGTGTGTGAAAACTTGTAAGGGATTTACAATTACATAGGTTCCCTCCTAAGTCCACGATGAATTTGATAGTTTGACGTTTTCATAGTTCCCCTTTATTTGTCAATAAGTTTTAATGAAATCACTTTGAAGGCCTTAATTTGGTTGCTTTTCCAGGCACTCACAGCTAAAACGGACAGCAGCGCTGAAGGCCGTTTCGTTTTTCCATAGGGCCGCAGCAGGGACCGCAGGGACCGCAGGGTCCGCAAGGACCACAACGAGGTCCACAGGGGCCGCAGCAGGGACCGCAAGGTCCACAACAGGGTCCGCAGCAAGGTCCACAGGATCCACAGGGTCCGCAGCAAGGTCCGCCCGGTGCACAACCCATGGTTTTCAAATAATATTAGACAACTAAAATAAAAGCTATAATACCAAAATTGCTCTTATAGAAATTTACGTACAATGTGCTGAGACTGGCCGGCTTGAAAAAGTGATAAAATTTAGATGTTATTAGGTTGAGGGAAATATGAACACTGATATTTCCTCATATGGAAATCGCATGGGAAAGCAGAACACAGATTCACAGCCATCTAGATTCGAAATGAATAAATGCCAAATTTATTTAAATATTTTTTACAAAACTATGAATTTTAATTTTAGTTCACTACAAGGATTACCAACTTAAAATAGGTAAATTTAGCAAACTTTTAAAGAACATGATTAGGAAAACGTGGTGCCGTTGCAGACACTACTACATTTTCTCGACATTCTAGCAAGCAGTATATTTGACAGGATCGAATGGACCAACACAGGCTAGCAGAACGTCCATCGGGTAATTACCCAGAATTAATAATTCGCCAGAAAATTGAATTGTGTGGAAGTAGACCTAAACACAATCATGCTCAATATCAAAACATTTAGCTCCTATGTCACTATGACTATGTGGCGGACAGACTCGACTAATGCTCCTGATCAAGAAAATATACACTTTACATGGTAAAACTGTCCCAACTACGAGTAACAGGCATGAGCACCGCCCTTGATACCATGATATACTTTTTCCCAGCTAAGATTAAGATACTCTGCAGGTGCTACGGTTTTATCTCAATATATTAGTTGTGGCTTGTAACTGCTGGGTGTTAGCTTAACCATGGTGTGGTCGAGGAATGATGTGACAAAGCGATTCGGCTGCAAGTGGGGCGCACTTAGCACCAACAACCTCCGCAGCAACTTCCAAATGGTCCGCAGCAAGGTCCACAGGGTCCACAGGGTCCACAGCAGGGTCCACACGGACCGCAACATGGTCCACAAGGTCGACAGCAGGGTCCACAGGGGGAGCAGCAATAGCCGCAGGGTCCGCAGCACGATCCACAAGGTCCACAGCACATGATTAATTCGAGTAGTCTAGAATTAAGAAATAAAGAGGTATACTATTTTTAAGCTTACAGTAAACTTCTTACCAACGATTTTTAGTAGCCAAAAACACCTATTTGGGACAAAACAACAAATTTTGATGCGAGCAGGACGACGGTCGAGATGAGAATAATATATTTCCGGAACTTACATGGTTAGGTGAGTCTGACAGGTCAAAGAAAGATTTCCATAGCCTCCTTTCTATTCGAATTATATTATGTACAATGGGTCAGATTGTTGAAATAACTGTGACCCACTGTGGATTCGGGAGGTCAAAAATATAAATAAAATTACGTGTTAGACAAATGTCCGTTTGCAGACATATACTAATATTATAACTGTTTCTTGTCTGAGGTTCATAGTAACCGTTTTTATAGCCGTTAATAATAACTATAACTATAACTATATATATAACTATATAGATAACTCGGCTTGTAGGCGTTAGAGTGGCGGGACAACATTTTTTTTAGTTTAACGATGGAAATTAAAAAGCCAATAATACAAATGAAAAATTTCACCACATTTTCAATACTGCGGGTGTGGATATTTATTAGACCAATACAAATCTGGAAAAATAGAGTGGGCGTGGGTCGACATGAGTCAACAAACTTGCGTAGCGTCTATGTCTCTGGAATCTGCATACTTAATCTCAACTATAAGCAAAACTATAAAAACTATAAAGTTGATATTGGGCATGCATATTCCAGATATATAAACGTAGGCAAGTGTGTTAAATATTGTTGCCACGTCCACTTCAACGCCCACAAAACGCCAAAAACTGTCGACCTCACTTTTGAAAAAATGCTTAATTTGTTTCATTTTTTTATTTTTGTACTCATTTTCTACTGAAATTCGAGAAAATTATAAAATTTCTCGTCCACTAGTTGAGTAAAAGGTATCTGATAGTCGGGTAACTCCACTATAGTATTCTTTGTTATTATTTTGTTTGCCATTTTATCTATGAATATGCAAAGAAAATTGTAAAATTTTTCGTTTACTCTCATTAGCTGAATAATGGGTATCTGATAATCGAGGAATATAGCGTTTTATCTTGGTAATATGAGCTACAACCGACCAATCCTGCATAATTTAAAACACAAAAAACTATTTTTAAATGCACTTATTTTATTGTATTGGCCAACACGCGTTCAGTCCTAAGTTACACTTTGTGGTTTACAAGGCGCTATTCAGCACCCGCAATATGGCCTACAGGGCCCGCAGCAAGGTCCACAGGGGCCGCATGGTCCACAACCCCCGCAGCAAGGACCGCAAGGACCGCAAGGACCGCAAGGCCCACAACAAGGTCCACAAGGAGCACAGCAGGAACCGCAAGGACCACAGGGTCCACAAGGTCCGCAAGGACCGCCGCAAGGGCTACAGGGTCCGCAGAATCCAAGGGGTCCGCAACACATGATGGTTCCGTAATGTTCTAAGAAGAGTCTTGTGAAAATATCGATGTTTGGGTTCTAACGAGAAACTTACTTTGAACCGAACAAAGAAATAACCTAGGACGACCAAAAAATTTTGATGATTACAGGTCGAGAATAAAAACAAGAGTGATGAAAACTTGACTCACATGTTGGTATATGAATTTGACAACTGCCGAAAATATCCGCAGCTAACTAGATTAGGGGTTTTGGTTTCTAGAGGTTGAGGTTTCTAGAAAAATTGGAAATTGTGTTGGATCATATTAGCCTTGAAATTCGCATGACTGCTGTCAAATGAAGCTGCGACTGATGTGGCTCACTTTCGTCAGTTCTCCGTTCCATCTTCAATAGTAAGCACCTAAATTTCCGGTGGTTTTTAGGTTCCTTTCGATTCCGGTTGTGAAAGATCTCTTAAAAAACAAAATCATGTACATGTATGTCAACCCGAATTACGTTTTGGTTGGGGTATGTATATATCGGTCTCGTAAGCCCGGGACTTCTTTTAATATCTTTTTCTAGGGCCCCTGCTGTGGTCCCTGCGGCGGATGCGGTCCTTGTGGTGGATGCGGCCCCTGTTGTGGTGGGTGTGGCCCCTGCTGTGGTCCTTGCGGAGGATGTGGACCTTGCTGCGGCGGCACCAGCAGTTTTTGCGGTTGCGGTCCTTGCTGCTAAGTCAGTTGACCCGGAAGCCTGTCGGAATACTTAAGGCTGCTATGTAAATCTGGAAAAATAAACTGTGTGGGAGACGACAAATCACTTATTTCTTTTACATCTGAAATTATCATTCTCGAGGTTTATGAAATGTCGATCAGGATGGTTATGTTTGGTATATTATTTTTAGAAGATGCAGTTCCTTTGAGCGAAAGAAGACAATTTTAGCAACTGTTCCTCATTGATCAAAAAATATTGTTTTCTCACACCTAGCCAAATAAAATGTTTGCTGAAAACCTTCAAAAACTACTTAGGTAAATCGGTTAACTTCAACGCTTTTCATAAACACTACTATCACTATTGCTTAAAAATGGAAACGTTAAATATTTGATTACATCGTTGTTGGCAACTAAAGAAAGGGAGTTATTGGAAAAAATCAACTTCACTCCTCCATAAATTGTTATTGGCTGAGGCGGTATTGGCAAAAGACCCAGATTGTTGTAGCTTATGTTTAATTCCAAGTCATCAAATATATAGAGACATTGGCATTGAAAAGTTAAACATTTACTCTGTAACCTAAAATGAATTATTTTATACTAAATTCACAAAGATTAGCTTAATCTCAAATGCAGTTTCCCTTCAAAAATAAAAACATAAATCCCAAGGTGCTAATTTTCAGCTGCTTTACTTACATTGATAATAGTTTCATATGTTATATCTTTTATACATTCGGTTATTTCATTGAGGTAAACGTTTCCTTAAATAATTATTTTAATAAATCTAGGTTCATTTTAATTGTCAATTAAAGAATTTAGTTGCCTGGAAGCGTGTTAATGTCTTTACACCAAGTTGTCGAAGATACTCCGCTACACGAATTTTGTAACTTGTATCAGACACAATTAATTCATTCAAATGTAAACGTGTTTCTTTGCTGATCGGCCTAAGATGGAATTTTCCATTAAACCTCTATCAATTCATTGGTGACAATAAAATCACGGTCTTCTCCATTTTATGTCTTTGCCATGACTGTATTATTGCAGATGCCATCATAAAATGTTTCACAATAGTCGTATGGAATTGTTTGGAAAAGCTTTATTTGCTTTGATTCACATATACAAATATTTAGATTTATTAAAATTAAATTAAATAATTTGTTGTATGCTTTCATTTGGCGAACGATGCGAACGCAAAGGAATTCGGATTTACCTAATACATATAGTAAACTTGCAATAAAGTTTATTTATTGCAATAAAGTGAAATTATTATGGGTCGCATTATAGGAAAATCGCATTATTATTATTATTCCTTTTGGAAAAGTGAACGAAATTACCAGCTATTATGTAAGTCTTTTAATGTAACAAGCGAAATAATACTATAAAATCTAAAATATTTTAAAAGTATGTATTTCATAAATATTAACATGCACTTATACCCTTTTATTTTTTCGAAATTAAACCATTATTTATAGCCTGGAATCGAATACGTTTACAGCTTTTCAACTTTCACGAACAAATAAAATGTGTTGAGATCATTTTGTAATTTTTTGCAGGTACTGCAATTTAAATAATGCATCAAATGAATTAAATTGTCCGTCAAATGAAGACTAAAGCATTTTCCGGAGTCTTTCAGTGGTGGATGTGAAGGCATTGGAGGTAAATGGAGAAATTTCTTTAGAATCTGCAATAAAAATCGAGTCATGTTAACAAAGGAGTGAAATGAAGCGCAGTCAAAAAGCCAACCAACTAAGATGGCGACCGATTGTAAGCTTCTTGTGACAAAAAGTGAATTAAATCCGATAGGGCAATAGTTCAAAGAAATATGTTCGTTGAAAATTGAACTGTTAACTCTCCAGTCAACCAATGTATATATACATACGGAAGTCTTGTGTGTGTCATTGATATCGTTCGATCTGACAATATAGGAAACAATCAGGCACACATAATGGCAATAAAAGCGGTAATGATGTGGCACGCGGACGAGAAAATGTAGCGGGTATTAGTGCTGAAATAAGCTGATACTTGTTGTTTAACAAGTTTTTTTAGCATTAATTCTTTCAATTAAAAAAAAAATCCTTAGTTTTACAAAAAGCGGTTCAACATTCCCTACATCTTGTATTTCTAGTTCCCATCTGGCTTTAGTCCCGACCACTTGCCACGAATATTAGAAACACACCGCATTAAATCCGGCAGCTTAATTTTCACCTGCAAGGATGTGACTTGAGCACAAATCACGTTGCAAAGAGAAGAGGTTTTGTGGGCCTGGGGTGGAAATTCAGGGGTCTAAATAAATCATAATGGAGGTATGTCATCTAATTAAATATATCCGTGTGTAAGTCTGTAGTTTAATTTCAGGAAATGTGGAAAACTAAATACGAAACATGGCATACCATGCGGTTGCCAACAGTGGCTGCTAAAAGTATTTATTGATGTTAATCCTAAATGAAGTACAAACTCAACGTTTCAAATGAGCGTGGGTCGTCAAGGAAACCTTTTTTAAAGCAGAATGTAGTCGTATCTACCAGGAGCACTGTGTACACCAACAAGTAAGCACAAACGGCAGACGTGCTCCGTTAGGGGTGAATACACACAGAGACTCGGCTTCCGGCAGAATATTTCAGTTGAAAATTTTTAATGAGCTCGAAATTGTCGCAGTAGATTTTGCACACACCATGAAAAATCTGAGAAAAAATAAAATCTGAGAAAGGAAAATAACTTACAATCAAATAAGTGGGATGAGGTATTTGAACCCGTCACTCCCTATATGACGACACATTATGAACAATGGCTCTTAGCCTTTCTAACGAATTACATAAAAAGATCCGAATTGCAGTAATAAATTTTTCATTTTATGCTACCATCGACGATGGGTTAATGCCATAAAATCGCTATACGGATAAGTAACATTAACAGAATACGTTATATACATGGCTAAGAGCCTAGTTTATAAAAAAATTGAACTCAGAGGGAGCAGGGATTAAGTCATGGTAAAAACAAAACCAAAACTAGCCTGCAGTCTGCCTGAATGTAGGCATTTTGGTTAAAATTTCCTTTCACAGATTTCCTTTCAACTTCTGCTTGAAGTTGATAACGGCAAACGATAAGATGCGATCAACCTTGCTTAGAACCAATCGTATGTTTTCTTTGGTTGACTAAGCAGGAATGAGAAAATTGTCAATAGGGAACTTGTTTTAATAAACAGCCTTTAAGAATTGAGAATTAGGACAGTGTTCTTCGGTGTGACATTTGTACATATAGCTCAGACTCTAAGAAAGCCCACACGTAATAGGATGGCTATAACGAACACTTTCCGTTTCCTATTTCCTACGCTTGAAGAACGACCAATCAGACCCTTCCTGCACAACGCAAAGTGGATCGCTTTCGACCAAGAATCAAGCTCAACCAACCGTTAGATAATTAAAAAAGAAACGGAAATTAATTTGTCAAAACAACTTAGCTGGTATGGCCTGGCCGAGAAAATTGCTAATTAAAATTATTGACAGATTCAAAGCGAAACGAAGGGAAAATGAAAATGTGTTCCGACACTGAGATGGCTGTGAATGAGTCCTCTTTAAGTCCCGCTCTGCGTTTAAAAGCAGTTGCAATGTGCCTACAATATATACCATATGTGCCTCCAACTCTGTTGGGCCACACGTTGCGTATACGCAACGTATGCGGGAATGAAAATTTTTAAAAACTGCCCGCTATGCGGCTCACTCCTCTCAGCAGTATTCGTGTTATCCTAGCTCCCATCGGCTGTAGGAGTTTTGGATCTATGACAGCAATTGCACTGTCCAAACTGAAAACTCGACTCAAAGGCCCCGTCGCCGAGCGTGCGAGTGTTATTTCGCTGAGCTAAAATCCACAATGGCTCGGTTATGAGCTGAGTTTCCTGTGCCCTTGGCTGCTTCATCAACATGCAATTGGATTTTCCCCTTTCTATATTCCGATTCCTGCAATATCGCGTTGTTTCGCCGCTTTGATGCCGCGCATTGTTTCAATGAGCCCGCGGGCAAGGGACGGCTATCTATTGTCAACGCTGCGTATGCGGTATGCGGTATGCGTTTTTACTCAGCGACACCCCATTGATTTTTTCAAACTTTCTTTTGTGTTGGGCCAGTTTAATTGACTGTAGGAAATCGAATGGGTTTTTACTAATGCAAAATTTAAAAGTCAATTATGCAACGCAAGGGGTGGTAAAGTAATATTTATTTTGGGCAGTGCCAAGATTTTCAGACTATCCCTGTACATTAGAGCGCGTGTGAAGTATTGTTTTTATATCTTATATAATCTGGCCGTATCCAGCAGTACGTTCGTACACCTCGGAAACTAAAGAAGCTTAACAGCTTTTCAGGGATTCAATCGACATGGCATACAAATTTAGAAATTTCTGCCCCGCCCTTTTCCTCGCTGAGCAACGGGTATCAGATAGTCGAGAAGAGCAAATATAGCGCTAACTTTTGTTTTTATAGTTTCTTGGGTCGGCAGTAGTTATATAGTACTTCTATAGTTATAGTTTACTTCTACCCGTCGCCAGCGAATTGAGTCGAAGAAAAATATTTCATATTAAATTAAAAATCTGTGTGCTCATATTTAGCACAGCGAATATTTATGTATCTAATCCTAAATAGTTATATTTAGTATTATTGGGGTAAGTTTGACTGTACATTTGGACGGTTTTTCTGCCAACACTGG